TTCAGCGGCCTACAAAAACACACATCCACCCACACACACACACCCCCACACATCATTGAGCCTATCTTCAGCGGCCTACAAAAACACACATCCACCCACACACACACACACACACGGACAAATCCACACACACACACACACCCACACACACAAATCCACCCACACACACACACTAACCCACACACACATGCCCCCACACATCACTGAGCCTACCTTCAGCGGCTGACTGCCGAGTCGCCCCCTGGGTCAGCATCTCTTCAAGCTTTGCCGTGCGGAGAATGTTTGAGCTGAGAGCATCCTCCCCCACTCCAACACCTCCCTCTCCTTCCACATCCTCCCACACACAGCTGTAGTCCGCAGATCGCTGGGGGAAAAACACGATGAGTCAGCGTATTTGGATTCAGGAGGCATTTTGCTCGACTTAGATTCAAGAGAAACACACTGATACAATAACGGTCATTTGTTGCAGAGAAAGGTACGTTTTTTAGTAAAAAGTTTTACAGCACTTGGAACACTATAAGGTCATGTATGTGCCAAAGATTACAGATGTTACAAGAGAGTAACAAACAAAAAAAGGAAGGAGGGGAGATAAAGACGATAGTCGTTTGATAGAAAAGAAAGAGCAAACCACACCAGAGCACCCGCCAACCACCCACAGGGAAAAGTATGACAGACAGACAGAAACAACAACAGGAAAGAAACAGTCATTTGTGGCAGAAACAGCCAATGGGAACGAAGAGAAGAGGGACCTGCCAGTGACATCCTCCGACCACCCTCAAAGACAGACAGAAACAACGTAAGGAAAGGAAAGAACTGGGAACTACTAGAGACACCCTCCCACCCACGACACATTAGTTTTTTAGTAAGAGATTTACGGCACTTGCAACACAATAAGGTTATATAAGTGCCGAAGATTAGAGGTGTTACAAGAGAGTAACAAACACAAAAAAGAAGGAGGGGAGATAAAGACGACAGATGTTTGATAGGAAAGAAGGAGCAAACCACACCAGAGCCCCCGCCAACCACCCACACCGACGACACAGACATATATAACAAAGGGAATGTCTGGTGTGCAATGACGTTGTTGCCCAGGACACGGAATACAGAGGGAAATACAGAGGGAATGAAAAGAAGCAGGACCTACCAGTGGCACCCTCCAACCACCCACATAGACAGAAACAACAGAGGGAATGAAAAGAAGCAGGACCTACCAGTGGCACCCTCCAACCACCCACACAGACAGAAACAACAGAGGGAATGAAAAGAAGCAGGACCTACCAGTGGCGCCCTCCAACCATCCACACAGACAGAAACAACAAAGGGAATGAAAAGAAGCAGGACCTACCAGTGGCGCCCTCCAACCACCCACACAGACAGAAACAACAGAGGGAATGAAAAGAAGCAGGACCTACCAGTGGCACCCTCCAACCACCCACATAGACAGAAACAACAGAGGGAATGAAAAGAAGCAGGACCTACCAGTGGCGCCCTCCAACCACCCACACAGACAGAAACAACAGAGGGAATGAAAAGAAGTAGGACCTACCAGTGGCACCCTCCAACCACACAGCGTCTTATCTTCTATCATGCCACAGTTTAAAAAAAAACAAAACATAGCAGTGGCCAGCAATACTTTTTTGACCTAAGCAGTAGCCAGCGACATAACATACATTTCAGTTTACTAACTAACATGTTATGTACTCAAAGATCATAATTGTTTTTTTGTTTTTTTTGTTTTTGTAAAGTGTTTTACGGCGCTGGCAACTGCATAAGGTCATATGAGCCCGGGTGGCGGCCGGAGCCTATTCTTATCGATTTTAGACCACCAAGGGATCTTTAACGTGCGCAACTTGCACACGGGCCCTCCGAGATTTTTTCGCCCTTGTCCGAGAAGGCTAGGTGTAGATCTTTCCTACCAGAAGATCAGGGGCAGAAAGACAGCAGTTAGGAGGAGCCAAGGAGTAGCAGTAGAAAGGCTGCAGAAAGAGTCAGGAGCCCAGAGGAGGGGGCAAAGGAGGTGAGGGGGTGGGGGCAGAAAGTGGAAATGAAAGCAGACAACAGAACATTGCTAGAGAGCAGGAAAGGAGGTGAAAGGACACAATTTTAGAGAAGAAAATTTTTTGGTCGCTACCCAGATTCGAACCCGGGACCTTTGAATGAGAGGCCAACACCTTAACCTCTAGGCCACGAGAGCCCCCCATAATTGTTTATCTTATACAGACGTGACAAACGTAACTCAGTCTCAACAATCTACGTAATATACATACAAAGGAGTCCACTTATACCGATTACTGCTTATCCAAAAACAGCGGTCAACCGATACAAATACTACTTATCATCATTAATTTATCCTACCTCATCCTCGTGTGCACTATCTAATATAATTTATCATTATGCTATAAAAATGTTATCTGTTATTATGCAATATAAATGTAATTTATTATTCTCAATTTATCCTACCACATTGTCGTGTTCGCTATATAAATATAATTTATCATGATGCTATATAAATGTTACCTATTATTATGCCCTATAAATGCATTATATTATTATCAATTTATCCTATCACATCCTCATGTGCACTATATAAATATAATTTATCATTATGCTATAAAAATGTAATCTGTTATCAAGCAATATAAATGTAATTTATCATTCTCAATTATCATAACACATCCTCATGTGCACTATATAAATATAATTTATCATTATGCTATAAAAATGTAATCTGTTATTAAGCAATATAAATGTAATTTACAATTCTCAATTTATAATAACACATCCTTGTGTGCGCTATACAAATATAATTTATCATTATGCTATATAAATGTTATCTATTATTATGCCCTATAAATGGGCTTTATTACTATCACTTTCTCCTACAACATCCTTGAGTGCACTATATAAATATAATTTATCATTATGCTATATAAACATAATCTATTATTACGCCCAATAACTGTGATTTATTATTCTCAGTTTCTCCTACCACATCCTCGTAGCAGTCCTCAATGATGCTGGCATAGAATGGATGACAGCCCTGCTTCCTAAATGCCAGGTTTCCATCGTCTTTGTCCGAGAGCCCCCCGGCCCGGCCCCTGGTCCTGCGCGCCGGCTGCTTAAGCGAAGTGACCGCGCTCTGCCACCAGCGGCCGTCCGTCACAGTGGACAGCACGGCAGACGTGGTGCGCCGGGTGGACGAGAGGATCTCCTGGGTCTGCTGGATGGCTGCTCGGGCCGAGAACGGGCTCTCTCGCGACTCGGAGTACTCGGAGCTGCCCTCTCTCGTGTCGTTCACGGCTCTGTTGACTTGTTCATACAGGATCTGAGCAAGAGCGATAATCACAATGCAACATGACAATGAAAACAACAATAACAATACAAGATTTCAATTGTAAAATGCCTAGTGCTGTTTGGTATAGGAGTGTGCGCTATAGAAAGTATTATTATAATTATTAGTATTGTTATTATTAGTATTATTACCTTAAACCTTCCTTTCCTTGTCCGCTCTTGATTTTTCGTTTTCAATGAAATGAATTATTTCTTTAGGGGATGATTCATGCACCTTGATTTGTGGCAGTCACAATCTCTTTTTTCCCTGACACCACCACCATCATCACCAGCTTACTGAATCATTTGGTTTCTAAGCTTCACTCCCACACCCCCCCACCCCCCCAACCCAAAACAAAACAGAAAAAAAAATAGGTTAAAAATAACCAACCCAACAACCAAAAGAAAAGACCCCCTAAAACCTCAAAACAACAACACCCCGTCTCCCCACCCCCGACCGACTAAACAGAGACAGAAAAGAGCACAGAGAGTTTAACGAGACATTGGGAAAGGTCAAAATATTTTTCAGTCTGCAAAAATGCTAAGCTGTCTGAATGTTTATAGTAGGGCTTGCCTCTATTGATCTGATTTTTAAAAAAAATTCCCTTCATTCCCCTTCATCTTTCCTCCTTTCCTTCCTTCCTTCCTTCCTTCCTTCCTTCCTTCCTTCCTTCCTTCCTTCCCTCT